AAACAAACGGATGCATACAGTGGTGAGGGCAGATGGAAACGGCGCCACTGAATCAGAGACCTAGGAGAGGCAAGGGAGAGAGCAACTGATGCATTTGGTGCAGAGCTATCTGGGCAGAGAGATAGGTGGGTGCAAAGGTCTGGGCGGAGAATCCCTTACTGGCTCAGCTAAGAAAAAACGATCCATGTCGGCTCTTACTGTCTTTGATGAGGAAAGGAGGGGCTAATGGTTTATGGGAGCCTCACTTTGTAGGGTCTTATAATTATAGTGAGGATTTATCTTTTATTCGCCGTGTAGTGGGTACCAGAAAAACAGTTAAGAGTTGACTTGGGTAGTAAAGGGATTACTCTGACTCTTCTTGGAGTCAACAGCCTTGGGCTCAGGCTCTTAGTCTCAATTTTTGCCTTATTATATATCAGTAAAATGTAATGAATCTTTCTGTGTCTGGTTCCACATTCATAAAGCAGACAGAGTAATAGACATATAGTGTAAGAGTATGAAAAACATCAGGCAAACTGTTAGCCTAACTCCAGGGGACCCTGGACTCTTTGTGCGCGCATGCTCAGAAAGTGAATGTACTGTCTTACTCCCTTATGCCTATCTATTCAGAGGTGCTGCCATTCCCACAAGGGTGGTGGTGAACCACCTTGTCACTTGGGATACATTGCCTCTCTTTCAAATCCGACATGATCTAGGACATATGAAGACCACAAATAATTGAGATGTTTGTTGAGAAGAGGAGAAAGCCCCTGGCTGTTGTGGAGAAGGAAAAGCAAGAGTGACAGAGACGTCGAGTCCTTGTGACGAGGTGTGCTAGTTAGTCACTATATTTAACGAATGAGCCCAAACCTAAAGCAAGAAACCAGTGGTTCTGGAATCAGACGGGTCCTCCACCAGGCTCTCGCGAGTTTGCCAACCAGGCATCAGCTGGGGCGGCAGATAATGAAAGGCTCACTGTGGTGGAGGATCTGCCTCTGAGTTTGGTTCTCACGGAGGGCTGGCTTAAGACCTCTGTTCAGCACTGTGTGGTACTATGACCTGCAGCATTTTGGGACTGACCTGACTAGGGCAACAGGGAACGGAGAAACCAAAGACGCATAGACAGAAGAGCAAGCATTGAGTGGACCATGGGCTCTTAGGGCCATGAGTCTGCGGGTGGGAAATTTAATGTGTTTATTAAATACATCTGAACAAGGGGGCAAGCTTGTGGTACACAGTTAGCTAGGATTTGTAGAGATCTCGGAAGAAAAGCAGCCCCAGGCTGCAGTCATTTGAAATGAGGAAGTTGTGGTTTTAGCTATAAGTCAACTGTCCACCAACATCTATACGCAGCCCAGAGGAAGGCTTTGCCATTTCCATGAGTCTGAGGCTTTGGGTCCTTTACATGGCTGTCCCAAAGTCAACAATACACCTTCACTGGTGACATCATTTCTTCATAGTGTGGGCCTCTGTGAGGACACTTGAGTGTCTTTGTCATGTGGCAGTTGAATTCCCCCAGGGGAATAATCCAAGAATAAACTAGGAGGAATTTGAGGTGTCTCTTACGCTCTGGCTTCAGAAGTGATACACTGTCATTTCCCACCACAGAACGCATTTGCTGGAAACAAGTCATCAGGTTTGGCCTACTCTCAAGAGAAGGCAAATGAAGGATCATCTCCTGTAGGATTATTTTTTGTTAATCTTAGTTGGCGTACAAAAGGATAGGTTCCCATAGACATGTTCATGCAGGTGTGTTGTTCTGCTTTTCTCCGGCTCACGTTTTCATATTCCTGTCCCCCTATGACAAGCCTCCTCTGAAATGTCCAAGAATCCATGGACAGATTAAGAATCTACACAATCAACTTTTTTGCTGCCTTGATTATATGGAAAAGAGGATTATTTGACTCATCTACAAAGTTTGGAAAGTTGAGTTTGACACTTGCCTCTGGGGAAGCCCCCCTTGCTGGTGAAGATTCTTCAGAAACCAAAGAAGCTGGGTTAGGGGACTTGCCCAGTGAAAAAGGCATACACAAGAGATAGGGCCAAACTGGCTCAGATACCAGATCCACACCCTAGATAATCCAACTCATGAGCCTGTAATCCTTAGCTAGATCAGCTCATTCCTCAGCCCTCAGGACTTAATAACTTCGCAAAGGTCCCAACTATCCCCACTTCTTAATATTCACAGTGAGGATGAATTTCAGCATGAACTGGCTCTTCGCCTGTGTTCATTTGTGATCTAAAGTGATGGTTTCCTCACGGCATTTCCACACCTGCATATGATATGCTTGGACCATAATCATTCTTTCCATAAGCCTTTATGATCTCTTCTTCCTCTTTTCTGATTCCATATCTCTCATAATCCACCTTTTACCTTCTTGTTCTCTTCTTCTAGCTAGATTTCACAAAGGAGTGAAATCCTGCATGACTTGTCTTTATGAGATTGATTTAATGCATTCAGGATGATGAGCCCCAGTTCCATATGTTCCTGAAGTCACACAATATTATTATTGTTTATGGCAGAAAAGAGTTCATAATATGTGTACACCACATTTCCTTCACCCGTTCATTCACTGATGAGTACCTAGGTGAATTCTATAACTTCTATACCATGAATGGTGTAGAGATGAATGCCAGCATGTGTTTTAATGGAGCTACTGAACCATAGGCATAGGATAGGTGCTAATCCATAGTAATGAACGTCTCGAATCAAGGAATAGGTTCTAGAGAGAGGTAATTGTTAGGGACATCTGTTTCATGTTGTGCCAGAGGGAGATCCAAACTCCATACTGACATCATTTTTTTTTATTACATGTGGAGACTTGGTTAACAATGGTTGTGCGTCTTTCCATTCATCCATCCTTGTGTGTGTCCTTACGTCAGCACATTTCACAGAGGCAACACTGGCAGAGACATCCCTGCTTGTACACCCAGCAAGCCTGCCGCATCCCTGCAGGCCAGTCACACAGAGGCATCATTCTGTCTCAGGGCCTCAGACACTGCGCACTGGACACTTGGGCACAATTCACAGGAGCAAGGAGTCAGGGTAGATGACCTGGGAAGATGGTATTCTGTTTTTTTTTAAATTTTAACCATTTATATTTTTGAGAATTTCATACATGAGTACTGTATTTACATCATGTCTACTCCTTCTGCTCCCCCTGTAACTACTCCTATATACCTCCTATTCTCTCTCAAATTCAAGACTGCTTCTTCTGAAGTTATTATTGTATTACACATGCATGTATATGTAACGTACTTAGTCTGTTTAGTGTTTCTTGTATGTACATGCATTTAATGCTGACCATTTGGGACTGAATAACCTACTCGGGTGCTCATCCCTAGAAAAGTTAGTCTCCATCTCTCATCCAGCCTATAGTTCTTCACCTACAAACAGGGCCTTGGGAACTCCTTCATCCACAATGACATGTCAACTGGTGTAGTCATTATGCAGGTCTTGTTTAGGCATCATAGAGATTTCTTGGGTGCAGTGTCCCTGTCATGTCTAGAAGAACAAAAGATGTCCTGGATCTCTGGCTTTTTTAGGTGAAACCATATCGTCTTCTCTGACAGATAAGAACAATTTTTCTTAAAACTCTGTTTTGCCTATAGACTGCTTCTTCCTGGAATTCTGTTTTGGTTTTAGATATTATAGGGTAGTTCAACTTAGTCAACTAATAGTTCATCTGACAATTTTTCATAAGACAACTTGTACATTAAATTTACTTTTTTGAGAGATGTTTGTCCCAATAACAATCAATAGTTATCAGAAGTATTCAAAACTTCTAACATATTTCTTATGCAATGATTCTTAGCACTAATTCTGTTACAATTTGTGGAGTTATTAAAAACACAATCAATTATTTTATAAATGCACCTGCTGGGCGGTGGTGGCTTACGCCTTTAATCCCAGCACTCAGGAGGCAGAGGCAGGTGAAACTCTGTGAGTTTGAGGCCAGCCTGGTCTACAGGAGCTAGTTTCAGGACAGTCTCCAAAGCTACAGAGAAACCCTGTCTCAAAAAACTAACAAATAAATAAATACACATTATATTGCTAACCAAATATTTAAGACAAAATATACAATCATAAAGGTTGCACATTATTTTCTTAACCAAATATTTAAGACAAAATATACAGTCATAAAGGTTTATCACAACAGTGTTCAATAACAAAATCAAGCAACAAATAAATACAGTTGTAGGAGACCAATGATAAGTAGATGAGTAGACATGAATGATGCTGTAGCTATACATAAAATACTACATGGCTATTAAGACTTATAATGTCATTATCACGTTTGGTACGGAAAGATATTCTGCTATGTTCCTGCACAAAAATAGAGCTTGAAAAAAAATCATGGTTTCTGTGGCATTGTCATATGGAAGCTGCCTCTAGTTAAATGTGTACAAAGGAAAAGGTGCTGACATGTTTTTTTATGTATCCAAAGACAGGTAAGCATGCATATTTTTTTCTTTTTTGCTTGTCTGGACTTTCTGGTTTTTCTACAACTGTTGCCTAAACATTCCTAAGCAGATCTCCGCCTCCAACTGCTCCATAGGTCTGGCAAAGGCAGAAAGGAGAGACTGGAGGAAGGGAGGGAGGGAGAAAGAGAGGGAAGAAAGAAGGTTGCTCTGGCTTCCTGGGTCTGAAGCAGCTGAGTGTTCCTGGAGAGCTGGGAAGGCCAGAGGAACTCCTCCAGAACCCTGGGAAGAAGGCCATCCTGAGAAGCTCCCTTCATTGAGAGGAGGTGCAGCAGCAGGTGCTTTGGGGGAGTTTGGGACGGTGTGAAATCATTCTGGGAAACCCTGCTCCTCCCTCGTGAGTTTCAGGGCTCCTCCCTGGATCATTAGTGCACTTCGTGTACTTAAAGGACCAAGGCATCTCAGAAGATCAGAGGGACAACCACAGGCTCCTGCCTGGAGAAGGAGAGAGCTGAGGGCTCCTTTGTGGGCTCTTTCCTGACTTCCAGATCCAGAGTCTCCTGCTGTGGACAGGCTGTTCACATGCTGACAGGCTCTGGAGTCTGCTTTCTATTCAAGCCCCTGATTTCCCAGCCTGTTCTTTGCTCAAAATTTCCTGCTGTTTCTTTCAAAATAGGGTCTACATAGTGTGGCGTTCATGATGGTCCTGAGTGGGGCACTGTGCTTCCGGTGAGTATTCGGTCATGATTTGGTGGCATTCTCAGAAAAGTGAGTTCCAGGTAGACAAGAAGGTGTTGTTATCCCAGCAGCGCTATCATGGGTAGCTGGGAAGATGGGACCAATACTGCCCTTGAAGCTTCTCTGGCTTTCTTCAGGCTGAGAAGAATAGATCAGGAGTCTCACAGGCTTCTGGGTTTAAGTGTGCGGGGTGGAGGATGGGACAAGCAACTAGGCAGTCTAGAACAGCAGCCTTTGGTGAGGAGAGTCCAGTCTCCCTTACAGAACTCCACTGTTGCCTCCCATAATCTTGAATTGCCATCAGCTCAGTCACTGTGGTAATCCCTCCATGGTCCTTTCTGCGGTTGGGTATAGCCCAAAAACTTCTCTGTTGCTTCCTGGTGTGCACTGAGCCAGGCACCCTACTACAGATTTTACAGCAGCAGGTGAGAATGGTCCTTACTCTTACCGGACTCAGTCAGCCCTCGGCATCTGTGGTTTCTTCAATCACAGCATCAACAAACGGAATTGAAAATATTATAAAAATTTGCATGTGTGGTGAACATACACAGGCTTCCTAGTTATTACTTCCTTAAATGACAGCATCCCTTCTTCGGGGCTGTTTGCATGTTGTTAGGTATTACAACCATGGAGAGAGGATTAGAGTATTCAGGAGACGGACACCAGTAAGATGCAAGTTCTACATCCATTTTCTCTAACAGCCTGAGCACCTGTGGGTTTGGGTCTCATCTGTAGGGGTTCCAGAACAATCCCTATGCTACCAAGGGGTTGGAGGACTTCTCGAAGCATGTTCTCTGAGGCTCAGTCCCCTGAGATAGTCGATGCACTCCTGTTCTCTGAGTGAGTGCAGCTGCAGAATGCTGCTTCCTCATCATGTTTGGGGCTGGGGGGGGGGGGTGGCTCAGTGGATAAAGTTCATGTTGGGAAAAATGTGACTTCTGGAGTTCAAACCCCCAGCATCTGTATAAGAGCTTGAGGCTGTCTGAAGCCAGGCCCTTTTCTCAGCACTTGGGATGGAGGGATGGAGAGGCAGGAGATCCCTGGGGCAAGCTGCCTGGAAGAGTCAAATTGGCAAGCTCCGGGTTCAGCGAGAGATCCCACCTCAGTAATAAAGTGGTACAGGATTAAGAAATACACTCAAAATGGAGTTGTGGCCCCATGTACATGCTCAAACTTGTGAACATGCACACACACACACACAGAGAGAGAGAGAGAGAGAGAATAAAATATTCGGCCAGACATCAAAGCAATTGTTACACTGCAAAATATCCCCATATGATGTCAGCAGAAGTCTACTTAAGTTCACGTAAGGTCTACGTAAGCATATTTCACCTTACAGAGTGTCAAAAAATCAGCTGAAAAGTCATTTTGAAAAATAAAATAGGACTTTAAAGAAAGTCCTCAGAATGGAATATATGGCCCAGTGGAAGCAAGTGTGCTTTGAAATGTTCAATAAGAAGGAGCCGAGAGGTGGATTCAGGCAGAACTATGAGTTTGAGGACAGCCTGGCCTACAGAATGAGTTCCAGGCCAGTCAGGGCTATATGGCAAAATCCTGTCTTAAATAGCAAAACAAAACAAAAAAACCAAGCAGCAGATGCTGATTAAGGGGAGTTCTGAGTGTTGTTTAACCCACTGTCATGGTTCAGCGACAAAGAGAGGACAAGTGTTTTCTTGGCTGCAGCTCTTCTCCAGACCTTCCTGTGCAGAGTTAGCTCTTTGCTCACAGGGATCCCACAGGGCCAGAAATGTCCAAACAACTTGAGGCTCGACAAAATCGTCAGGATTAATAAAAGAAGCCTGTGTGTCAAGGATGTCAGAGAAGGTTGGAGAAGTAGTCCCTGGGCTTTGAAGAACCCGGGCTCTGATTCACAGATTCTTCCAACTGAGCAGAGAGATTTTCTGGGATATAAAAGGTTTATAAGGGACGAGAGCAGACATCGGGCACAGATGGGTGGCAGAGGGGTCGTTCTGCAGAATCAAGTCTGAAAGTTGGTGGCTGTGTCTGGCACCATAGAAATAGAAGAAGAGAAGATAGCTGAGTTTGGGGAGACCTTCTGGAACCGGGCAAGGCAGAGTGCTCATCCCTATCCTTATGGAGTCTTGTCCCTTCCTGGTGTTTCAGAATGAAGGACTCGGCCTTGAAGGTACTTTATCTGCACAATGACCAACTGCTGGCTGGCGGGCTGCATGCCGGGAAGGTCGTTAAAGGTTGGTATCTATGAGTCCCAGGCCTCTGTACTCTAGGGGGTATGCATTTAGAAGCCTTTAAATGTATCTGTAAACCAGTGGCAGGCCTTCAGACCCAAGAACCACCATGTCACATAGGGCACCATAAAACAGGCTTCAAGCAAAGTGGGAACGTCAGGGAAGCCTCTGTGTAGATGTAGAGTATTTTCTAGGATGAATGACTTGTGTTTCTGTCACAAACTCTCTTGGGCATTCTATGTCCTTGGGAGACAGTGCTGTGCAAAAGGCTAAACTAGATCTCCATTCTCAAGTGGGTGGGCTCTGCTCACCATTCTGCTCTCTAGAGATCCTTGGATTTCCTCAGTGCTGACATCTGGACAGTGGGGTCCCCTCTGGCCTCTTGCTTACTCATTGTGCCCTCATACTTTGACAGGCCTTTCCAAATTGCTGCATACATGTTTGCTTGGGGTACTTATGGGGTACTAGATCTATACAGACCCCTTTGCTGCATATGTGAGCACTACATGAGGGTATAGCTATATGTGAATGCATAAGTTCATATATGAATGTGCTTAAGTATGTATGTGTATACTTCTGCAAGCACATAAGGATTATATGTGTGTGTGCCTATGGATACATACATGTTTTGATTATGTGTAATATGCATGGGTGCATACATGTGTGTGATTACATCTATGTGCATATGCATGTAATGATGTAATGTGTGTGTGTGTGTGTGTGTGTGTGTGTGAATGTCTGTGCATGCGTACATGGGGAGATGGACGATGTACAGAGAAGAAGAGGGAAATCCTATTCTGCAGAAATCCTACAGGGGATAAAGGCATCCCACAACTCTAGCAGGATGTGACAAAGTCCAGGAAAGGTAGCCTGGAATAAGGGGTCAAGGGAGTTAAAGGGAGTCGTGGGAGGGGTGATCTCTTGTAATTTAGAGAATCAAAGTTTGGCCCTGAGCAAGAGGAATGATTTTGCCTGGTGTTCCTGTGCTTTGGTTTATGATCTGGGCCAGGCAGAAGGCAGGAGGCTTCACACTGGTTCTAATCCATTTAAGGCCCTACTGGGTGGGGAGGAGGGGTAGTGGGCTGAAGGACAAGCAGGTGCCTGCATCTTGCCTTTTTCCTCTAGGTGAGGAGATCAGCGTTGTCCCAAATCGGGCACTGGATGCCAGTCTGTGCCCTGTCATCCTGGGTGTTCAGGGAGGAAGACAATGCCTGTCCTGTGGGACAGAGAAGGAGCCAGTCCTGAAACTTGAGGTGAGTCTGATAGCAGCGTCTTCATGTTCCGGCCCTGAGCCAGGAGAGGCGCGCTCGCTCTGCCGCCACAGCCCAGGTAACCCTCAGCTGACGGTGAAGGCACTGTTGAACCAGCGCTGCCTCCTCTCTAAGAACCTTTCCCTTGCCCAGCTTAGCCCTCTCTCTTGCCCACTCCTGTGTCTCATCCACCGTGCCCCTTTTCTACAGCCAGTGAACATCATGGAGCTCTACCTTGGGAGCAAGGAATCCAAGAGCTTCACCTTCTACCGGCGGGATATGGGCCTCACCTCCAGCTTCGAGTCAGCTGCCTACCCAGGCTGGTTCCTCTGCACTGTGCCCGAAGCTGACCAGCCTGTCGGGCTCACCCAGATCCCTGAGGATGCCGCCTGGGACGCTCCCATCACGGACTTCTACTTTCAGCAGTGTGACTAGGGATGCGTGGTCCCCCAAACTCCCTAGGCAGAGGCAGAGTAGTCAATGTGGGTGGGGGGCAGGTAGTGATCGAGGGGCTCCATGAAGGGCGACTCCCTCCTCCCCCTCCTCTCCGGACTTCCACTTCTGACTTAGGAGGTCTACAGCCACTCTCTTCTCCCAGTTTCCCAGTGCCAGTAAATTCTTTGGGTATCTGGAGCTCAGTGTATAGACTCCTTCCACACAGGATGACCCTACCTCTGGTGTGGAACCTAATACAAACCATGTAGGACAAAGAACAACATAAAATGATTCCTGGGTGAGCGAGTGATGGAGACTGTTCACGCGTAGCGAGATCTGGCACAGAACCTCAGAAGCTCTGCCATTCCCTCCAGGGCAGGAGAAGGAGGCGTCACCAAGATCTTTGCTTGGCTGAGCCCCGTCCCTCAATCCTGTTGCTGGCTTCTGCTGCCTCTTTCATCCCTGCCATGTTTTTCTGGTCCTGAACTGAGAGGGTGATGTCAGGAGAGAAGACAGAAGATGGTCAGGCACACTGCTCTGGTTTGAAACCAGAGGTATAATAAAAATCTCAGATTCTGGTCGTTACTTACACAGAAAGATGTTCGCGAAAATTAGGTGGAAAGAGCTTATTGCAAAGTAACATGTCTTGCTTGCATTTTCATCTTAATTAAAATACACTTAACTGAGCTATTTTAAAAGGGGTCTGGAAGTGCTTGCATCAATTGTAGCAATGTCCAGGTGGGGGCAGTATAGGTGACTTTTTAATTTGTGTTTATTAACGCCTCCATTATGGAGGTGTGTGATTTGCATAATAATAAGAAAAGGAATCCATGTGGTGGGAAGTGAAGCATACAGAACTTCTGATTGTCCTCACCCTCTGCTACCCTGAAGTGTAATCTAAATTGAGCTCAGCTGCCTGCGCAGAGAGCAAGAGGCAAACCCCAGAAAAGCTAGGAAGAATGTAAAGAGTTTGCACTGCAAGAAAAAAGGAGCAAGGGGTGGAGGGAGGAAAGGAAGAGGAAGGCAGCAGGAAGGGAAAGGAAAGGGGAAAGCGACCCTGCGCTTTGACCCGGGATGATCTCAACCCCTGGGATTCTGAGTGGCAGCCAGCTTCCGAAGGGGCTACTGTGTTGGTTAGCAATTTCCCTCCTCAAATTCATGTCCTTCCCAAATCTACGATGCTCTTACCGGGGCAGGGTCTTTACAGTTAAAGCGCTGCACTAACTCTCACTTGACTGGTGTCCTTCAAAAACGAGGACTGGACACAGAAGAGACACAGGGAACAGGCCCATGTGATACAGAGGCAAAGGTTGAAGTGACATTGCCGCCACTGCCACCAGCCAAAGAGGATCCCCGGACTGTGTGGACCACCAGAAGCAAGGAAGAGGGGAGGGGGGAGTTCCTTCCTAGAGCCTCAGACTGTGTGCCGCCTTGCTGGGGCCTTGACTTCAGACTTCCAGTCCCCTGCACTATCACAGAATACATTTCTGCTGGTTTAAGTTTCTAAGTGTGGGTGATTCCCGAGCAGCTGGGTGGAACATGGAGCTTCTGGCGATCCCTGCTTCCTGGGGTTCATTCCCTCTACCGCTCTACCAGAGTCAGGGGCGCTGGAATACAGCGGAGGTGATAGCGGGCTACTGCAGAGGGTAGATTATAAAAGCCCCCTTAGTGGTTTCCTGGGGGGGGGCTGTTTATCTGTACACTGTGGGAAGCCAGATTCTGTGCTGTAAGCTGCCCTGTAGAGAGATCATGTGAAAAAAAAAAACTAGTCTCCCGTGGATAACAGCTGCATGTATGAGCTCAGAAGCGGGGCTTACCCAGCAGCCATTGCGACCCAACTGCTGGCTGGATTACAATCTCATGAGACACTGTAGCACAGCTGCCCTGCTCCTCCAGATTCCTGTCTCATAGAAACCCTGTGAGCTCATCAAGGCCGTCTCTAGACTCTGAAGTTGATAAGCTGCAATAAGTAATATCCAATGAAAGAGAAACACGTGCATTTACACTATTAAGATCAAAACTTTCTCCAGTATTTTCATTTTTCTTCTCAAAAGGAACACTAGCCCTTTATGGACCCAAATAACATATTTAAAAGCTGATCTGCTTCATTTGTTTAAACTGTCAACCTGTTGCCATAAGGTTTGATTCATCTATAACCATCACTACTTCCCACCGACACGCCAGCTTCTGTCTCTAATACTCCTGCCTAAAATATTGGGGACTAAGAGTGAAAGCAAAAGAAGGGGTCCTGAGCTGAGCCCCATGTATTTAGCTGCAGCTCCCTTGTCAGACCAGCTTGGCAGGTTGGCAGGTTAGTAGGAGGACCAGCAAAAAAGATGGCAGGACAGAAGAGGCAATCTCCACCTGTCCTAAAATCTGCAGTCCAGATGCATCTAAGATCTCCTGAGCAACAGGCAGCACCATTTCTACCACAGGCCTCTTGGAGATACTGAGGACACGTACTTTGGGTACCAGGCTGTATTTCTGCATCCCCCATTCACAGTGTCTGCCTGTGGGTCAGACAATCCCATGGTGCATTTTCTATTTGGGGTACATTGTACCCATCCTGGCTGCTGACAGAAATCACTTGTTTTTCAACACCCTGCTAAAATATCACCTCTTGTGTTTGAAGAGATGAGTTCCCTGGTCGTTTGCTATGATGATACTCTGGGCTTATCTCCCCGTACAAAGTTGGCTCAGGGTCTGTAGAACCCAGATGACCTTAGGGAGCTGTGTCAATATGTTTTGAGCAATGTTTTTGAACACCTAGATTAATGCTTGACAATCTTTTGGAGCATGATGAATATAGAACATGGAAACTCACAATTCTGGAACATCCTCTCCCTTTCCTCCACCCATCTACACCCTTACAGAAGAGTAGTTCAAATCCCACCTCATCCTCAAAGGTCAGAGTGGTTGCTTCATCCTTTGTAGGGTGGCAGAATTCAAAAAGATTTGAACCTAGAAAAGCCGACACTTCCAAATCCAGAGGGAAAGAAGGAACAGAACCACATTTGTTTTGTCGTTGTAATGGTAACAGTAAAGGGAGGTATGTACGGCCTGAGAGAGCCTGGCGTCACAGCTGTTCAAACAACTAGTGCTTTTAGATTTCTGCAATTTTGGTAGAAGCCACAGACCTGGGCCACAGCAGTTGAGGATTGTGTCAAGCGCAGATGCTGGAGAGCAGAGATGTTTTAAGATCAGGGCATGAGGGAAGAGATAAAGGAGCTGATGGTGTTTATCCTGAAAAGACAAAATGCAGCCACCTCTTTCTTAAAGCATCCAAAGGTCTGCAGGCAGGAGGATGTGCTTGCTTTGTATAATTCCAGGAAGCAGCAACAGGACCACTGGGCACAGATTATTGGAGGGCATTTTTTTTCCTGAATGACCTCCCCTTCCAATCATAGCCTTAAAGATCGTGAACACCATGTATGCTTCTCCCAGGGGATACAAAGTCCCTGACCTTGGAGTTATTGGGGGAAAGCCTGACTAACTATTTTTAAGACACCATAGCATTTAACCACTCGGTGGATATTCTGAAGTCATGTCTAAAGGGTTTCTCTAATGCTATTGTCTCTCACGTACCCAGGCTCACAGCTGAGTACAACCTTTCAAATTGTCATTTGTTTGTGGCTTAGCTCCCCAGCTACACTCTGAAGTTACTTAGACACTCTGTGTCTTTGACACAGCAGTGTAAGTGCTTGGTACACATTACTGACTGCCTGACAGGACACCTCATGCTTTGGCACTTTCAACAGAGGGATATAAACTTGTAAAGAATAATGAAGAATGAAAATTGGCAATAAAAGCAAAAAATGGGTAACCCAAACCAAGCTCTGAAATCATTTTCAGGGAGTGAGGAGTCTTTAAAACCATCAAATACTTTATTTGTTTGTTTGTTTTTTATTTACTAACTTATTTATTTAATATCCCAGCCACAGTTTCCCTCCTTCCTACTCCCCACTCCCTCTACCCTCACCCTCTAACCCATTCCTCCTCCATTTCTGTTCAGGAATGGGCAGGTCTCCCATGAATATCAACAAAACATGGCATATCAAGTTACAGTAAGACTAAGCACTTCTCCATGTTATTATATATTAAAGCTGAGAAAGACAACCCAGTATGGGAAATAGGGTCCCAAAAGCCAGTCAATGAGTCAGAGACAGCCTTGTTCCCACTGTTAGGTGTCCAACAAGAGGACCAAGCTATATAGCTACAACATGTAGGCAGTATGCCTAGGTCAGTCCCTGGCAGGCTTCCTGGTTGTCTGTTCAGTCTCTGTGAGTTCCTATGAGACCAGGTTAATTGATTCTGTAGGTTTTCTTGTGATGTCCTTGATCCCTCTGGTTCTTAAAATCCTTCCTACCTCTCTTCAGCAGGATTCTTTGAGCTCTGCCAGTCTGCATCTGTTTCCATCAGTTGCTGGGTGAAGCCTCTCTGATGACAATTGGGGTAGTCACCCAATCTATGAGTATAGCAGAATATTGTTAGGCATCATTACATTGACATTATAGTTTTCCTCCAGTCGTGTTTGGGTCTATCCTAGGTCTCTGGGTCACCAGCCTATGGTTCCTGGTGCTCCAGGCAGTGTCAGGGCTGAACTTACTCTCCTGGCATGAATTTAGAGTGGACCAGTCATTAGTTGACCACTCCCTCAGTCTCTAGGCCATCCTTACCCACAGTACATCCCATAGGCAGGACAGACTGTCAGTCAAAGGTTTTGTGGCTGGGTTGGTTTTCCACTCCCTCCACTTGAAGTCTTTCCTGGTCACAGGAGATGGACATTCAGGCTGTGTATCTGCTATTGCTAGGAGTCTTACCTGAGATCATCCTCGTAGATTCCTGGGTGATTCCCTTGTGTCAGGTGTTTACCCGACCCTGAAATGCCCCCCCTTTCCAGTAGTCTCCTTCCTCTGCCCTACCCCAAACCTGATAGCTCATGTTCCCATGCCTGCCCACCTGCTCCCCACTCACAAAATCTCTTCTATTCCTCTTTCCCAGGGAGATCTGGGTTTCCCGTTTCAGATTCTCCTTATTATCTAGTCTCTCTGGGTCTGTGAGTTATGGCATAGTTGTGCTTTTTTTATAGCTAATTAACATTCCATGTTTATCTTTCTGGGTCTGTGTTACATCATTCAGGATGATTTTTTTTTCTAGTTCCATTTATTTGCCTGAAAATTTCATGATATCGTTGTTTTTAACAGCTGAGTAATACGCCATTGTGTCTTTATCCATTCCTCTGCTGAGGGACATCTAGATTGTTTCTAGGTTCTGGTTATTACAAATAAAGCTGCTCTGAGCATAGTTGAGCAAGTTTCTTTGTGGTAGGATTGAATGAACTGAGAAAGAAATTAGGGAAACAATACCCTCGACAACAGCCTCAAATAACATTAAATATGTTGGAGTAACTCTAAGCCAGCAAGTGAAAGACTTGTCTGACATGGACTTCAAGTCTTTGAAGAAAGAAATTGAAGAAGATATCAAAAGATGGGAAGATCTCCTATGCTCATGGATTGGTAGAATTAACATAGTAAAAATGACCATCTTACCAAAAGCAATCTACATATTCAATGCAATCACCATTAAAATCACAACACAATTCTTTACAGACCTTGGAAGAACAATACTCAACTTC